TTCAAGAAGGATTCACGCTCCCTTTTCACTGTCTAGCCCTGCATATCTGTCTGTAGGTCTGTCTGTTCTTCCGTCTGTCTCTCTTGTAGCGTCTATACCATTGGGTATTACATTCCTCAGCACTCGTCTCGTTAAGTACTCTCAGTAGGCTTATCTAGTAGTGCGGCTGCATCACGCAGCTCTCCCTACTTTTAGTAGCTAGAGCACTCTGGCGCTAGAGCGACGAGACGCCTTAATGTCTGTGGTGCCTCCCTTGCACCATGGCCAGTAGCTCGGCTTGAAGCTTTCTTCCCACCTTCCAACCCGGCAAATATTTGCATTTTGTTAAATACGATTCAAAGCCTCTCAATGATTATTTTAGAAAGAAAGGGACATATGGAAACGAGTTAAGAGTAACTCTCCACCACTGTAACTAGATACTATATACAGTCAGAAAGTGCAACAACTATGCACAAAACTGACAGAGTACTGAGACATTCGACGTCCTGACACCTAGCTTCAACACATCTCCGTAGCGCTAACCGACAGCCTTCCAACTTGGAAGGTTCAAGGTTATGGAAAGACCAAAGGGAGGAAGGCAAGCGCAACGAAAACGAGCACAAGCTACAGTCCCAACGGAACAAAGAATGTCGATTGTCACTGGACGATGACGAGACCAGTAGGCGATTTGACAAAGCGGTCTAACTACAATTCGAAGCAGCAAAGCAGCACACCACCCAACTTGGGTGGGTCAAAAATATCAAAGATAAGTTAAGAAGGGGGAAGCTTTGCGAGAACGAATTGTACAAGCCGAAATCTAAACTCCTACACTACAGTACTCCTCAGACATGACATTGTGATGGACTAGTTGACTACAAAACAAGTTGTTTCACACGACGTACGTTTCGCCGTATGGTTCGTGACGGCTCATCAGGTGTGCAATTTGAAACTCGGGTATTGAGCCAATAATAAAAGTAGAAAGGAAAAGGACATATGGAAACGAGTTAAGTGTAACTCTCCACCACTGTAACTAGATACTATATACATACCATACTATATACCGCTTTGTCAAATCGCCTACTGGTCTCGTCATCGTCCAGTGACAATCGACATTCTTTGTTCCGTTGGGACTGTAGCTTGTGCTCGTTTTCGTTGCGCTTGCCTCCCTCCCTTTGGTCTTTCCATAACCTTGAACGTTCCAAGTTGGAAGGCTGTCGGTTAGCGCTACGGAGATGTGTTGAAGCTAGGTGTCAGGACGTCGAATGTCTCAGTACTCTGTCAGTTTTGTGCCTAGTTGTTGCACTTTATGACTGTATATAGTATCTAGTTACAGTGGTGGAGAGTTACTCTTAACTCGTTTCCATATGTCCTTTTCCTTTCTACTTTTATTATTGGCTCAATACCAGAGTTTCAAATTATTATTTTTGCAATACTTGAAGTATAAATATAAGAATAATAACAATATAATATACTTTCACACAAAACAGGCTCGATGCAGCACTAATCTAGTAGTTGCACTGATTAGAGTTTGATGACCGAAACTGTTTGCTTGCTGCATTGGGTGATATCATCATTATTTTTAAAATTCTATATTTATATTGATGGACGTCATGCAGTACTTCAGTCAATGGGGTCAGCTTACAATACTTTCAAAATGGGCAACCCTCGCATGATAGCAGCATCTTGGGGGGTGAATGTGATGGCGTTTCTCGGCAGCTCCCTGCACATTATAATCAGAACAACACAGCATAGTACCGAACAACGCATAATTGTTTTTTACTCTTATTATTCACAAACCCTATACTTATACTGAACAAAACAAAACAGAACTACCCAGCACCACACAGAGATATACAGAGCAAAACAGAGCAAGACAGATACAAAACTGTGATGTAGTCGTAGCCTCGTACTAGTACAATCTCTGGTTTCCTGTTCGGGACAGGGAAGACCGTGCGGTTAAAGGCACGATAAGTTGGCAGTGATGCATTGTAATATCAGAAAAAGTATTCTTTGAAGACCAAAGAGTGGTATATATGATAAATAAAGATAGAGATATTTACGGTGCTTCTCCAGACGTGTCGTTTTTCGTTGGTCTAGAAAGTATACTTTAATACTTTTTTGATATTACCATGAGAGTGGATAATCAATGGCTTGTCCACCGACTTTATGCATCGTCTTAGTTGGATAATGTGATAACAGTCTCGAGTACATTGTCATATTGCTCTTGTTCCTAAGTGCAGAATTGGCCAGCAATGCCGGCGTTCAAGACACAACCATTTACCAAACCAAGACTGCGGGATTGCAATTTGTTTTTTTACTAAAAAACACAGCCCTACTAATAATCAGGGGAAGAGGACAACTGAAATGACACTGGACCTTACACCGCGTTTAAAGTGTATAGACCTCTGGTTTGAAGCCGTTGGGCCAGCATCTACATGGTAAACCACCTAAAATCTGTGATTACTTTGTGCACAGAATTTCAGAACTTGGGTGTGTATCAACCAATCGCTCAGAACTCTTCTTCAAGTACAGGAGAGCAATTGGGGAAATATCCCGAAGAAATGTCTCCAAAGCTCATACCAAACTTGAATACCGTGGTTCCGCGCATATAAGCCCATGGGCTAATATACGAAAAAATGCATTTTCCGGGAAATAAAATCAGTAATAATGGTTCGTTTTTTAGCCCTGGCCCCTGGGCCTATATTCGAATTTTGAAGGCAGCTGGCACGCGAAAAAGTACAAGTCCGTGCGCGGTTGTCCGCCTACTGTAGGTACCGGTACTGCATGGTAATGTAGTCTGCACTCACATGCTGTACTACGGTGTTTAGGTCTGTTTATTAGCCCATGGGCCTATACACGGAGGTGGGCTTATATTCGGACATAGGCACATGGGCTTATATGCGCGGAACTACGGTAGTTCGAGAAGGTAAGTGTTATGTCGGGATCAGCAAAGCACAATAACAGGGTTGGAGAAAACTACCATTACAAGTACACCAGGAAGAACAGTCCGAAAGCAAAAGCAAGGCGGGAAAACCCCCAGCTCAACTAGAAGATATGCAGATTCAGAGACTGCGCCCGCGGACTAGTGATGTCAATCATGTCATGCAACTACCCATGATGTCATGCAACTACCCATGATGTCATGCAACTACCCATGATGTCATGCAACTACCCATACATATGTACAGTGCAGTAAGGAGGTGTACACTTTAGATACAAAATAAGCACTGTAGACGGCATTAAACATTACGCATTGTCCGCTACATTTAGTAGCTTGAGCACTCTGCCGATAGAGAGAGATGAGCTATCTTAATGCCTGTGGTGGCTCATTTGCACCATATCTGGCAGCTGGGCTTGCTCAAAGCTCGTAGCCGTACTGACGAGGCCTTAATATTAATGGCCGGAACAGCTTGCTGTCAACAGCAATGGGTATTATAATGTTATATTATAATGTACATTACATGCGGGCTAACTAAGTAAATACTCACATTGTCTCAGTGTAGTTGCGTCGATCAGCGGGAACGGGCGTGATGGCTGTTAGTCCCCAATTACTACAATAGATCAGGTAGTAAGTTGGATTGGACGTATAACCAAATGGTACGCAGGGCAGACGCGCTGCTGTGATACAGGTGAAAAGAGGAGCCATGAGGAGCAGGGCCACCACGAGAGCGCGTCCGTCGCGCATCTTGCCTACACACAGAGGCAAACGAGATTTCCAAACTTTACTAAACAATATCCAGTGTTGGAAACGATGCCACGACACTACCACGCACCAGGAAATACGGGTAAGCGGATTATGCCGGCATCATTATTGGTATAATCAGGTCCTTTTTGAGAAGAAGCTTAAAAATTAATGGCATCTGAAAAACAAGCGAAAATGAGCAACGAGGATGTTATACACACCTGAATGAGTTTGGGCATAATCAGGTCCTTTTTGATAGGGAGAATAAAATGGCATCCGAAAAACCAGGGCAGATGCCGAATGAGGCTGTTTCATACACACCTGCTATTGAAGGTCCATACATAGCGTTGCTGATCGATATGGAATAATATTTTGCAGCCACTATAGGACAGCGCCCAAAAGTTCAGCGCTTGCTTGTGAATTTGGTATTCCACTAGCCTATTATTGTCTTGTACTTCCACAAGGCTCCCAGTCCACATCAGGACTAGCCGTTCCTCAAATCGGCCCGTTTTTTGCCAATTCGGCTCTTCGCTCGGCTCAAACATACATCAGATTCGGCTGCAAAATCCGCTGATTGTTCGACAATCGGTTGCGAAATTGGAAGAATTACTTGTACCATGTGAAGTTCATACACCGTCCGTAGAGGGCTCAATTTGCGGATGGCAAAGAGCAGGCGAGATACACATACGACAGAACGAGCAGTTGCGGTTTCGTCACTCCGAGTTTCACGAACTTAATCGATCATCAGACGAAGATTGGTACTGACAGAACACAATTGACAGTGGCATGGCGAATGATTAGAACACAACACCAAAAATGAAAACAGTTGTATGTGTGAAAAAGAAAACAAAAAAAACAGGAATTGGTACTGACCCTGCCCTAAGAATACTGATACAAGTATATACATATACATGTACCGTGAATGTGGCAAGCCCAGCATAATAATAATTACCGTTATGATAAGCAGCGCGATATACATGTAGAGTGTGTGAGAAAGTGTTAGTTATCTGTGTATTGTTAAAGTGATGTTCTCGCGGAATCAGGTGGCAAAGCTTGACAAAAGGTGTTATTCGGCCTGCGTTAATTGCAGAGAGAACGTGTTATTTTATAATTATTTTTGTCAAGCTTTGCCACCTGATTCCACGAGAACATCACTTAGCAATACACAGATAACTAACACTTTCTCACACACTCTATATCGCGCTACATAATATCATAATGGTAATTGTTACGCTGGGTTTGCCACATTCATGGTACATCATGTATATAGCAGTACGGTACATCATGTATATAGCAGTACTCTTAGGGCAGGGTCAGTACCAATTTTCGCCTGATGATCGATTAAGTTCGTGAAACTCGCAGTTACGAAACCGCAACTGCTCGTTCTGCTGTCAGATTTGGCAGATATTCGGCGATTCTTAAAGGAACCCTCCAAAATGGGCGAAAAGTGACAATGCAAGTGCTGTTTCGATAAGTCTTGTTTCGGCGAATTTTTCGGTCGGCCGATTTGGTGAAAGCCTGATCATGACAATGGTCGGATTCCTTCTTTCATGACGATTGTCTGTTCTTTCGACCTTTTGGTGAAGCTTTTTAAAAGCATAATTGGCTGTTTTAGCATCCTGCTGCTGGACAAGGAAACGAGCCCAGAATTGGTTGGTCTCAGAACTAAAGAGGAGATCAGCGATACCTGCGATAGAAATAACAGAGACATCCATCATTGCTTCTTGGCCGGCGATTACATGTAAAGCCGAACGGCAGTACAGGCACAGCAGTGGCCAAGCGAAAAATCAGCTACGGTTTCTCCTTCTGTACAAAGCGAAAACTACAAACTCGGGGACAAGTACATGTGCTAACCTACATATTGCTAGATTGACAGCAACAGTAGCTACATGACTACCAGGACGACATCCAGCAGCAATTAAAGAATACACGACGGACGTAAGGAGTAGTCTCCAACCCTCCGTAGCATAATGAGGGCCAACCGCGGAAGGTTGTAGTAAGGTCACTGTTTCCGAAGACAGTGTCCCCCACCTTTTTTCATGCTGTCAATCTAACAATATGCGTGAACTATAAAAATGGTTTATCTAATAATGGTTTGATACCATGTGCATACATGTACATGTAGTACTACTAGTATGTCTCGCGCGCCCCTCAGTCAAAGAATAGTGATACTGACCCTGTAGCTAGCTGTGTTCACTGCATGCTGCTGCCACTCCAAACACGACAATGTGCAGGTGACGCGACTTTTGTTTGTCACCACTTCGGCAGTGTGCATCTGCAGTTCGGCACTTGGCCAAATCACCAAGTGCGTAACGTAACCCGTCGTTGTCAAGAAGCTGTGATGTCAGACTTTGAACCCGCGTTCTTGCACAAGTGCGCCCGGCGGGGCGCGTCGTCACAGGTACAATTATGTACAAGTGGTATGATGTTAGTTTGACAGCATGAAACAAGGCGGAGGGCACCATGGACACTGCTGTGTTGGGAAACAGTGACGTGACCTTACTACTGTACAACCATCCACGGTTAAAATAATAGTACTTCAAAGTAATTATTATACCATATTCTGCTATTCCTAGTACTATGATTATTGTATAACCCAATACTACTACTAGCTCAAAACTAGTATCGGATAAACCTTGTTAGTACTTATAGTTCACACATATTGTTAGATTGACAGCATGAAACAAAGTGGAGGACACTGTGCTCGGAAACAGTGACCTTACTAAAACCTTCCGCGGTTGCAAGAACCGCGGTCCCTGCATACCGTTTGAACCATTGTGGGTGTTGAACCCGGTTCTGACCCTCATTATGCTAGGGGAGTTTTAAACTTCTCCTTACGTCCGTCGTGTACTCTTTGATCGCTCCTGGATGTGTCCTGGTGGTCATCTACATGTAGCTACTTCAACCTGAATTGCTTTCCTTAAAACTTCTTTTCTTCCAATTTCTGCCCATGGCTAGTCCTTGGCGGATTATGCCGGCATAATATTTGGCATAATCTTGGGATTTCGTCAAAAAATTATGCTCCGGCATAATATACGAATTCCAACGTGTAAGGGCCTGCTGCGGCATAATCTTTCGGTTCAGACCAAAAATATGCTTAGGGCATATTTGTTGGCATAACTGTGGCATAATCAACAGCATAATTTGACGATTAGGGGTCGTCCGTAATAATCGAAAAATTAAAAAATACGTCCTCGTGCAAAATTGTCTCTGGAAGACGCACTGACTTCGAGACTGACTTAGAGCTGCTGTGGATAGAAGGTCGCGTTTCCGGTGGCATAGTCCTGGTTGGATGCTGTTATCGTCCACTGCACAAGCCTGTAGCATTCTGGACCTCCCCGGAGTCCAATCTAGAGGCATCAGTTCATGCACCAGGAAAGAAGGTTCTGGCAACTGTCATGCTGGGTGATTTCAACGTTGATATGAAAAAGAACCCATGTCACCCATGGCCATACGAGTAACTGACTTGTTTAACAAATTTGGTATGACAAATTATGTGTCTTCACCAACACGTACGTGCCGCCACCGTTACTGAGTCAGTCATTGATCTCTTCCTATCAGTTACGGGCCCTTGCGAGATAGCCTACCTAGACAGTACTCATAAGTGACCACTTTCAAGTTTGCAGTACTTTGGAATCTCTGTGTGGCAGGATTTTCACCAGGCCGTACTTCCAGCTACAGACCTACACGCTGCACCCATAAGATACCCTGGGCCTATTCGGCTATTTGCTTAGCTCAAAATTACATCAGATTCGGCTGCAAAATAAGCAACTTCAAATAATTGTTCGAAGATCAGCTGCAAAATTGGAATATAATTGGAAAATCGGCTTACAGGCATATTGGCGTATTGACTTCGAAATTGGTGAGAAATTGGAAATACAGCTCTGCTCTTTGGACATCAGTGCCACAACTGTACGCTGAAGTGTAGTTTACCTCTATAACCAGCCTCCCCGAATTCAAGCATTCTCTCTAGCACCATTTTCGCCGATATATTCATTACACTGACGGTATCCCAAATCCTTAGTTACCAGATTTTGTATGCCTTGATCTATTTCCTTAGCCTATCCTCGATTAACTGCTCCCTCTACATAAAGTTGTCATTTTATTCTTCTTGCAGGAGATCCCCTCGACAGGCCCGAAGGCTTTGGGAAATCTTTAAATATAATAAAATACAAAAAATACAATAGTCTTTTACCAGTAGCGATCTCCTTAAGGGCTAATGTTTGTTTGAGAGAGGAGGTCAAAGGACACGAGTCACACGACCTCAACACGTCAGTAGTGCAAGTGCTGGAGTAGAGAGCTCAAGCGGTCATGGTTGGAGCAGCATCATTCGTTCGTTAACGCACTTTGGAACAGCATTATTTTGGTAAAAGTTAATTGTCGGCGATTCTCGAAGGAACCCTCCAAAATCGGCGAAAAGCTTCGCGATTTTTGATGAGTCTCGTTTTAGGCGAATTTTTCGGCTGGCCGATTTAGGAAAAGCCTATCGACAACTACTTATTGAGCTGGTAGCACGGTTGACACGAATAATGATGTACAAGTCGATCAGTAAAACCTGGGCGACCACATCACGGTGCAAGCACTCCCCAGTGTTGACAAACAATGGAGCGTTTTCTTTCTATAGTTTAGTAATATTAATTTTATTTTTTAGGCATGAAAACCGACTGGTCCAGTTCCGTTCCTTTGTTCTACACATGTTCTACACCTATTCCTAGTACTTCATTGCTACATGTATATGGTAGGTTCCTTGCTGCCTGTGATTAACCTGATACAGTGTACAGTGATAAAAAAAAGTAAATTATCGCATCCGTTCCCGAAGGGAACTCACGACGGCCGCTAACACCCGATAAACCCTAGCGGCAGATGCAGCGTGTACAGTGATAGAGATCCATGTATGAGACATACATTGTATTGATCGGGCTCTCCATCGGCTTCAGAAGCAATCCTTGAGTTTTTAAAGTTCAACCCCACTACTGTACATGTAAATCATGTAATTTTAGGAGTTCATGTATTTAAATGTCGGTACCAGGGACCTGACAGGTTTCAGGTGTATGTAGAATTAGGTAACCAGCCTACCCTTCACATACAGTGCATACTCTAGTGCCTTATAGGTGTAATCCAAATTTTGGTGCCTGGATTCTCTACCGAATTTAGAATTACACCGAAAATGACGTGTTATACAGTACATTGTCTACAGGTAACAATATGGCCAGCTACTACTACTACTGACTACTGTACTAGTCTCTGTAGACACAATGAGGCGTTTGGGATGCATGTGACTGGCTCTGGGAACAATAATTCAGTATGCACTGTGAGCATGGACGGAAATCGGTCTGCTCACTCTGCAGCCTGCTGGCACCGCTAGTGAGAAAATTGATGAGACAAATGTTCGCTTTAGAAGAACGAGTGTCTCACCACTGGATTGGACATACTGTGCATATATCACTATGCGTTAACAATGTGTAAACTATTGAATCTTTTACACAACCTTGATACATCTGCCTAGAGTTTTTTTTGGATTAGCCGATTTCAATTTTTTCATTTTTATGTCAACGCCGAGTTTCATCTCTTGTATCTTTGAGTTGAATCTTTTACACCACCTTGATACATCTGCCTGGAGTTTCTTTGGATTAGACGATTTCAAATTTTTCATTTTTATTTCATCGCCGAGTTTAACCCCTTGTATCTTTGATATTTAATAATAGCTATGAAAAGTATGAATGCCGCAGACATCACCACGCAACATGACAATTTGTTCAAGGTTTGGTTTTGTGTGTTTCCAAAATCGATTTTCACGTTCCGATCATCAGTGGAAATACGGAACTAAAGAGATCAAGGGAAAAACAAAGGATAAAAATCCAAAGAAGTGTGACACATGACGGGTAACTTGTGGTAAGTATTACAAAAAGTGAGAACTAAAATAAAGAGTAAGTCACTAAGTGTGACAAACGGGCATGAACAGTGCAGAAACAACTCATGAACACAAAACCAAACCTTGAACAAATTGTCATGTTGCGTGGTGATGTCTGCGGCATTCATACTTTTCATAGCTATTACTAAACTTTTATCTCCACGTAGATTATTTGTATCTTTGGTGTTCTTCCTTCTTTCCACGTCGTATTGCTAAAGAGAGCTCCCTTGATAAGGAAAAATACAATCGGTCCCTACGTTGTAGGTGTTCCTTATAAATAGGTTTGCTATTTAGTTATACTAATGTAAGCCAAATTCACAGGGCATTATCATGAACACTCACCGTTTCTAGTATCGACGAAGCAATTCACTATCTTGCGCGCACCCGATTCTGGCCGAAGCAGCTTCGTGAATGCCTTGTCTGAGAGCTGAATAGTTCAAGCTGCCCCTGGAGAAGAAAAAAGCAACAATGAACGTACACTGTCCCGAGCCCGAACTTTTGTACACCCTCTGGTGCTATATCTGTACGCTATCCGTTGCTGCTATCGGTCCTAGCCTGCACGGAATGTGAGCGGGGCATTAACTAATTGGCGGCGCGTGCCTGTGAGCATCAAATGCTTTGGTTGAACTTGTAGCACCCTGCCACCCATAATGGATTTGTGCGTTCAATAACTATGACAATACCACACCCTTTACTTAGACGTTAGCACTACATCGTAGGTCATAGTGTCAGCGACCCAGTCGAGTAGAACAGTAGTCATTACTTAGCATAGTAGCACCATGCGGTGGCACGTGCATGTACAGCGGCACGTGCATACAATAGTCATCTCCATGCAGTACTCGGCTTTACGTAGATTTGTGATTACAGTATACTTACAGTGCTTGTACTCTAGTAAGTTGTAGTACCCTTTCTAAACGCCCATCGTTGGTAGAAAAGTGGGTCCTGCCTGCTGTACAAGTACTGTGTGTATGCGTGTTTCAGCAGATTTGATCAAAAAAATTTTTACCCCTCTTGATTTCTAATCATTGTGTTGCTTTTAACTTTGCACGTAAAAGAGCCTGTTAACGTTAATGTTAATGTTAATGTTAATGTTGAATTCTAAAAAGAAAAGAAGAAAATAGCAATAGCAGTAGTGCAGTGAAGCAGTGTAGACCAGGGAGTAGCTGTTTTTTTTTTTGGGGGGGGGTTTCCCCTTCTCGGGGCCTTCTATTCGGTACTCTTTGTAGTTGTACTTCTGTACTGTTGAGCTATCCGAATTCAAATAAACACTAAAAAAACACAACACAATGGTACAATAAAAAACATGGACCATACGAGAAAAAGCATTGATGACGTGGCATAAACAAGTGTCTAGTGCTGTATGGCAGCTGCCGAGACAGCGAGTCGAGCGGATGACTCAGCCACCTCCGGGTGTGAATGCAGTCCGTCGTGCACCACGCAGGCAAGCCACGCCGGCACGGAGAAGGGCAAAGCTGAACCTGCAGCGGATCCATGACATCACTGCAGAGTATGGCTCACCAGATTTGTCGGAGACCATTGCAGCTATTCTCTTGAGGAGAGCGGCAGCAGCTCGACCAGTACCACCAGTTGCTGCTAAAACCACAGGGATGAAGGTTCCGCGCTCGACCTCCTTGACGCGCTGTTCGTATCGCCTCCGTTTTTCACTTTCATGACGCTGCTAGCAAGCGGTGATGGAAGAGGATCGATTTGCGGGAGCAAAGGGGTTGAAAACCCGAATATCGAGAAAGACTCTCTCGAACCGACCTCCCCAAACACCACTCGCCGCAACATCAAGTCGAGCCTGGTCTTCTGTGGAGGCAGTCTTGTAGCGGAGCTGCTCACCAGAAAGCGGTTTCAAGTGTGGCTCGATGGCGACACTATTGGCGACACGTTTCAATATCGAGGCAGTGATGTCCCGCACCTGATTGTGTCGAAGTGACGGGAAACCTCCGGTGCTGCATGTCAGGGCATGGGCTACTGTGAAACTGGCTCCACAGACACAGGTTGACGGTAAGCGAGAAGGCCGCCAGCCATAGCGCAGTGCCAAACCATCGCCGAACTCGCTTTTGGATAGCCGCATGACGGGATAGCGGACGACAAGTGAGCCAGCTGGAGACGCCAAACTCACTTGCCAACTGAATGTATTGTACTACTCCCTGGTACTACATGGATGCAGCTAATGGGGTCGTTCTCGGCACTTGTGCCAGTGGTTGTGAGACTTATCCACTCACCCCCACCGTTAGGCGCTGCATCTCCCGCTAGGATTTACCGGGTGGTAGCGGCCGTCGTGAGTTCCCTTCGGGAACGGACACGATAATTAAATTTTTTTTACCGTAAAGTACCGTTGATCCGCCCCCTCTCTAATTCCCGCCCCCTGTCGATTTTCTCCTTGTGAAGCGACTTCGGCGTATACAACGAAATACGATGTTGAACCGACGCATGCACTGCTGTACACAATACTTGCCAATCCAGGATCAAAATGTGCACAATCCAGCACATCGAGTCTGATCCTCTACGTTGTTGTACATCGTACTGCACTTGGCAGCCTTGATCTAATTCCCGCCCCCTGCCGAAAACCCAGCTGGGAAGCGACATGGCGTGGGGGCGGATCAACGGTACTTTAGTCTTTACGGTACTTACTTTTTTACTCCCTGGTGTAGACTAGTGTAGTAGTACACTGTACAGTGTACAGTGTACAGTGTACGACGCAAAATTCAGGGCTCACCACGACCATACAAAATTCAAAAAGCGTCGACCACCATTTTGAAAACATGGCGATGCCGCCAAGGCCAGAGTTTGTGCGGTCATAGCGGCTACGCACCCGAGTTCATGCTCATCGATGTACAGCGATGTACAGTCTACAGTTGACTTGTAATGTAGTCGTAAAATAGGGCTTGAAAGTGCTACGTCACAGCATAGCACCAATTTCAAAAATTCAAAAAATGGATCCACTTGGATCCAGTTTTTGTATGGATCCAAGCACATTTCAAGCCGTCTTACTCACAGCAAGGTGATGTAACCAGTGAAACTGACTGATTTGGCTACTGGGGGCGGGGTTACAACTGGTGGCGAAATAAAAGTCACACCTGCATTCGACATGAGTGGATTGCTATTTTTTTTTTTTTTTACTACGTTCACATAACCAGCTCGAAAAGAATAAGGAAAGACAATGGTACGGAGACTAGGACAAACGTGACAACTAATGAGCAGGCGCTACACCGAGACGCAGCAGTGATGGTGGGGCATTGATGACTCTGCCGACCTGAGGTCTCGGCGTCACGGCCAAAAACACGCACCAAAAACAATGAAAAAAGAAGAAGATAGAGCTGTACAGGTGAGAAAGATGCAAAAACCCAAGGCTTAACACGAGCGATTGTGGGGGAGAAACTGTCTTAGCGTCATACAGTATTCATAGGGAATCGACTGCCCAGAGCCAGTTTGTGCTGCGAAGATGGCGGTAAACATTCGTTTTGAATGATTGCATTCTCTTGCTGTGGGGAGGCTGGGATAGGAGAGCGGCAGGGAGGGAGTTCCAATCGCTGATGCTGCAGTGTGGGAACGAGCGCTTCAGTGCCAGCGGGGCAGATGCAGGCAGCTGGTGTTGGAGCTGGTGGTCATGGCCACTGACAGCACCGTGCTCGCTGCGAGTTCTGGGGTTGGTAGAGATGATGTGGCGCGGTGGCAACACAGAGAGCAGCTGCGGAGGACCAGGCAAGTAGTGCAGCTTGTACAGGCAGGCAAGCGAGGCAACAGTGCGGCGGATGGCCAGGCTGGGTAGGTGTGCCCCAGGGCCGATAGCATAAAGCGCGCGGCGCTGAACATTGTTCAGACGCTGGAGGTGACTCTGCGCAGCCCCCATCCATACAAGAGGCGCATACTCCATGACTGGCCGTACGAACGCCTTGTATACGGTCGTCCGGCCGGCGGGGGTGAGTATGTGGGCGGCTCTGTTTAGGACCCCAAGCCGTTGGCGTGCACGGGTGGCTACGGAGCGTAGGTGATCGCTGAAGGTCAACTTTGCGTCCACCTTCACACCAAGGAGGGTGATGGTGGTTGTCTCGGGCACCAGTGTGCCACCAAACAGGAGTGGGGGGAGATCTAAGCCGGTGCGTCTGAGGGTGGCTGTCATGGCCTGGGATTTGGTCGGTTCAAACATCACTTTCCATGTACGACCCCACTCATGCAGTCGGTCAACGGACACCTGCAGTGACTGCGCGGCGACTGTTGGGGACCCAGTTGAGAGGCTGCGACGGAGGCTGTCCTCCTCTATGCACCCACATACTTAGGCAATAGCAAAGTCACACCTTAGTGGATCCAAAAATAGAAATCTGATGTCAACTTACTACTCCTTGGCCGTTTTGACGTCATCACTAGCAAGCCCTATACCGGTGCTGTACGACTCCCTGGTCTACTCTGTACAGACCCACCAGGACTCGAACCTGGGACCCTGCTTGTCATGAGCAATGCTCTAACCACTGAGCTATGGGACCAGGCTGAACCTAGAAGGCGCTGACAAATCTTTCACTCCAAAGGCAGCTCACAACACGTGCCACACATACTGATGGCACTTGGGTCTTTTTTTTTCTTTTTTTTTCCCTCCCCCAGGGGACCAACCACGGTCAGTTTCTGGAAACTACCAGAGGTGAAAGAAAGTGATTAAATTTGGAAAGGATTGGGAGAACTTCAAATTCAAATGATCAGTCGGGGAAGTGAACTGCCTGAAAAGAGAAAAAAACGTCCTGGTGGGTCTGGCGTTTTTTTCTCTTTTCAGGCAGTTCACTTCCCCGACTGATCATTTGAATTTAAAGTTCTCCCAATCCTTTCCAAATTTAATCACTTTCTTTCACCTCTGGTAGTTTCCAGAAACTGACCGTGGTTGGTCCCCTGGGGGAGGGAAAAAAAGACCCAAGTGCCATCAGTATGTGTGGCACGTGTTGTGAGCTGCCTTTGGAGTGAAAGATTTGTCAGCGCCTTCTAGGTTCAGCCTGGTCCCATAGCTCAGTGGTTAGAGCATTGCAAATGAATTAGTTATTATTATTTATTTGCATTTCCGCGGCAATGTCAGCCGCACAATGGCAACCCACATATTCGCATATGCCGGAAATAGAATGGATTGAATTAATAGGTTCCCTTTAGTCAGCGGAGAGGGACCAACCCAAGGATGTACGACACTATTAGTATTTCACACAAAAGGCCCAAAAGAGGTTATGAAATCCAGTCGCGCCACTCAAGTTTGCGCCTTGTGCCATGTCTCATGTCAGTGTTCGCTGGCCTAAGGCTGCGCAACCCCCATGGCCCAGCGCGTACTCGAGTGACGCGACTGGATTTACATTGACCTTCACAATATTGTACGTCACCAACAGGAGCACAGCCCCTGCTAAGTGGCGAGCCAACGACTTACGTTCATCCGGGACAGAGCTCACACAGCTCACCTGTGTCACGGCCGGATGAACGCCGGCTCGCGCCTATCCTAGTCTCAGCTCCACATTTTGTAGCTCTGCCCCTGGCCCTAGGTGTAACAGGGTCCTTCAAAGGGTACGCAAGCGGCAACCAAGCGTGCAGAATCCTAGCTGGCGCCAGACCCTACTACTTAGGCTACTACCGTTACGTTTTCTGCATCGTTACGCCTATGGGAATAATAATGTCTTGGGAGTTACTAGAACTGGAGTCTACAATACTCAATAGTCGGTTTTTTTGCTTTTATTTTACATCGCAAGTCAAACGTGCAATCATGCCCAATGTTATGATGACGATGGAAAGGGATGAAAGATTAAGAACAAGATTAGTTATCCTGGATTATGGGGAGTGAAGAAAACGGTGAGTCTAGGAATCTCCCCTTAGATCATCAACTTTGGTCATGAAAGTAGACTTTCAATGGGCGTGAGAGTTGAGATGTGCTAGGTCAGGCCAACTAGAGGGGAATGCTAGGCTGTGAGATTCCGAAGTACATCTATTCTGTGTTTGTTTGATGAATGCATTGCAAATCCAAGAACATGCAATCATCCCCGAGCGGATAAAATCTAAGATAACCTGGGTAGGTGGAGTAAAGAAAACAGTGAGTATGGAGAACTCTTGGGATAGGGAACATCCTAGCATTAGCCATGAAAGTAAACTTTCAATAAACGCTTGAATCGGCATGTGGTAGGGCATGACTTTAACGACCGCTTTTCATGCACCGACAGTTCCACTCAGACTACATGTATCTAGTGTTCACGAGGTGTTTGTCGCGCTGCAAACGGACAAGTTTGTTAGAAGTAAGTTTGTATCCCTGGTGATGTTTGTTCCTGGAGAGCACTATGTAAGTGGTGCTCTTCAGGCACAATCTTCCTCAGCCTACTCAAGCTCAACTGATGAGGGGTGAATTCTCCGAAACACTGTGTATTGAGCAGGGAGTGGTGCTTTTCACTCACAAAGCAACTGTTCAGTACATGGGGTAGTGGTCTACCATAGCAATCACACTCACCACCGTGGTGGTTTTCCAGGAATGAGTAGAAGCAAAAAACCACAATCGCAGCCACATAATAGATAAATAGCCTAAAAACATCTAAATCCATCAAAGAACCGCCAGCAAGCGGGAGAAAAGGCCGTAAAATCAAGTCAAACAGCATGGCCAGTGGTGAGCATGGGTGGGAGATGGAACGCGAAAACGACAAACATGGCTTTCCAGGCACCGTACAGGGGTGCGCTGGTTGCTGAAAACCTTCAAAGCGCGTTTTGCATTTCTTGCCCGTTGCCATGACGAATTCTACTATAACGACGTTTGTAATTGTATGTGATTTTGTTACTTTTTGTACCTAATGAGTAATGTGGTTGCAGCCTCGTACTCGTGCATAGTCGTAGTCTATCGTTCCAACTGTTACTTCCATGCATTACAGTCTATGCACAGTTGAGTGACAGTGTGTAATGATACTGAGGTTGATGCTAGGCTGGCTGCTCTAACAAGCTACATTCTTCGGCGCCAGACATCACTGCACTCTACGCCCACACACGTCATGTACTGAGCTTGATGAGCTTGATACCAGGCTGGTTGTTCTTCCGCGCTACAGTTGTGTGGCGCCAAACATTACTGCAATGTACGCCCACACGTCTCCCAACTAGTACTGACCTATAGCTGATAGCAAAGCGATAGCAAATGCCGTCAAACGTTCTGAAGACGTTGGCGGAGCGACTGCTCGAGCGCCATTTTGAAGCTAGCAGTGCACCTCATTATCTACTATCTACCGGTAGTACATGTAGCAAGTTTCCTTAGCACACCGATACATCTAACTCTAAGGTATTTGTTTGGTTGATAGCATGTTGCAAGGCGGAAGACGAACTGTGTTCGAAAACAGTGCTCTTTACTACGACCATCCACGGTTGGCAGAGGTTGTCGTGAAATGCACTGTTTTCGAATACAGTGCGTCTTCCGCCGTGGAAAATGCTGGCAACCAAACAACATGATTGTTTTCAACCAATCAAGGCTTATCTAAAATCTAGGGTATTTCCAGTGGAGCTCGCTAAGTGTGTATTGCGATAATAGTACTCACTCTTCAAAGCCATACTCTAACATCCAGTTGGAAAGGAATTTAGAACTCTCCTGTGAAAGAGATAACAAACAGAACTTACCCGCGACAGCTGTGCTGTTGCCCTTCTTCCAAGGTCCAAGAACGTCCAGCCTCTCCTTTAATATGCACGCATCCACAGACAGAAGAAAGAGCAGTTTCTGTTTCTTATCTCTGTGTTATACTAACTGAATTGAGAATCAGACGAAAATTGAACCTATAATAATATGTATGTACAGGTACCGGTGCCACTTGTCTGCCGCCATCTTGCAATACTCAAAATCTCCAACTGAACAACCCGTGCGGCCAGCTTCTACTTTATTTTTTTATTTATTTTTTACTAGAGCCACGTAAACCCGTCATGTGTGAGCCATGAATAAGGGGAGTGATGGCGTGGTCTGGGATGCTCTACCGACCTTGGGTCTCGGCTTCATCACAACCAGGCGCGCCAATAGCAGAGAGAGAAAGAGAGGGAGAGAGAGAGAGAGAGACATAGAGAGAGAGAGAGATAGAGAGAGAGAGATAGAGAGAGAGAACTATCGCCTCAACGTTCTACTGTTTCCTTTCCTAAATAATGGTGTTGTAACTTGACTGTATTATTAACGGCCTGTACGCTACAATAAACTGTTACATACATACATGTATAGACACAAAATAGATGCGCGTCTTCCACAAAAGTCAAAGAAATACAGACAGCAGAGCTAACCGTTCTCAACGCCAGCAATGTTGTTCTGACACCACGGACACATTTCGAGCCAGGAGAATAAGCCCAGCTGCAGCACGTGTGAATAAGGGGAGTGGTGGCGTGGTCTGGGATGCACTACCGACCTTGGGTCAATGACGACACTCTCTTTGTTGGCATATTAACTACAAGTACTCATTGACATCATGCCCATTGCGTCTTATGTCGCTACGCACAATCCTTTTATCACTGCTTTCTCAGCCACAGGGTGCCCGATGACATAACGAAAGCTAGAGCTGTTGTGCGGGAGAGTTTGCGCCCACGGATCCTTTCCCTGATATTTCGTACTCCAAGATGGCGGACGACCAAGATCAAGAAAATGCGAGGTTTACCCCCCAAAATGCAAAAACGTGTGTGTGTGTGGTGTGTGTGTGTGTGTGTGTTCGCGGCGGCAGTTCTCGCAACTAATCACGTCCACAAACGGAACACGGTGAGGCGAAGCTACATGGCACACTGCTGGAGAAGCCAAAACAAAGACATAAAGACTAAAGATGAGGTAGTACTTGACCCGTGAGTGGATCTCGGGGAGACTAAAATCGCTCCCTGCGTTGAGCCCGACAGGTACTATCATGCAGAGCTAAACCACGCCAGTGTATGCAATATTGTAATGACACGATCCGGTACGAGCCGGTTATTATTAATATTACGCCAAAAGTATGCCCCACTACAGAGTACATAATTATGTTGTTGGTTTGATATCATAAAATATCTAATACCATACATACAGTGTACAATCATGTACCACGCAGTCGGGGGTCAGTCACGACTCACGTGTCTAGTCAAGTCAATGGGAAAACATGAGCTCTTCTGACTACATGCAGTAGTAATAGTAGTAGTGGGCCATGGGGGAGGAAAATACTTTTTTACTACTGTACCATTGTATTTGTACCAGCCGTTTGTTGGACCATGTATTGGTACTAGTACTACAGTTCTTTGTGAAAAAACTCTTTGCTGGTTGTGTACGTGATCTACAACTCGCAAAAATGTACGCACTATGACGTATGCGGGATCTACTGAAAGCTGAACGTCAGAGCAACACGATGTCGATGCGCCCAACTATCAGCCCGTACAACGAAGCATAGTGCGTACCTATACAGTTTAGCGCATGCACTTGACTGGTGCCACGCAAGTACGCACTCTCACCTCAGCAAATTTTGACAGGTTCTGTCACGTGACTGAAGTGCCTACTACCGTAGTAGTGTGTAACTGTGTGAAGTGTATGTAGCCAATCACTGCAATTTCCCAGCGTGACGTCGATACGATTAAATTCTTTCCATCGATCTTACTAGAGCATAATATGCTAGCAGCTCCTCAAACCTGCTACGAGCGACCCAGTTCGCATTTGTTTAGATGGCACAGTGTACGTACAAATTAATAATCATGATATTTTTTTTGGAAAGGATCCTTTGAATATTTTTTTTTCTTTTTTTTTTGTTGGTGCCATTGACACTGTAGTATCCGCTACCTAGCCTTGTTGGTAATATTACCATGGTAACATGGTTGCCATTGTCACGTGCTCTGTGCGCACTGTTACACACACGTTAGTACAGCAAGTTTTAAAAAAAAGAATGAAGTTTGAAGTTTGGAAATAGAATAAAATTTGTCAAAGGGATCATAGTTTCGAATGGGATAACAAACAATGCTAACCCACGAAAGCTGTGTATTAGTCCTTCTAAGAATGTCCAAGAATATCTCGTCTCTTTCCCCGTTACTTGATTCCTTTCATGTCCCAATGATCGTAATCACGCAGAGCAAACACAGCAAGTACAACAAACCGTTCCATAGACACGAGGTAGAAGTATTTCTTCCACTGAAGTCAAAGACATTCAGAGAGCAGAGCTAGCCCTCCTCCATATAGGCCATGCAAACACTTTTTTTGTGACGCGAAAGAAACATTTTGAGCCACTATCACCATCTGCACATACACTGTACGAGGGCGATTGTTATTGCCCGTGCATGTACAGTTTGTGTCGATGACGTTGGGTGTATGTACTGATGTATATTTAGTAATTCCCGTAGCTATGCAGAAGACGTTACTTCAGTAACGTCTGGCGCTAGCCAGGGTCCACACAGCTTTAATTTGGTGTTTGTTTGTTTGTTTGTTTGTGTCACGCCTGGCGCTATCCCGTATCTGTCCCGTACCGTATCGCACAGCTGGCCATTTGCTGGCTCCCGTATCTGTCCCGTACCGTACCGTGCCATCAAACACAGCTGGCTACAAACACATGTATACGACTCCCTGTGTGTTGCAACTGTGCTTGAAGGGGACGGTTGCACCTTTCGTAGCTCCGTTTAATCTGAGTTTTCAGTCGTTCCTCTTACTAGTCTTGCCAAGGGGGTGGCTCTGGGTCCACCAGAGTTGCCCCTGGCGTATTTCTGAATTTGCTGGGGCGAGGGTTCCGCGACGCGGTCGCCAAGGCAGTGTCTTTTCAGTCACGACCGTTGTCGTCCTCGTCTCTCCATTCGCGGTGGTGTAGCTGACCCCCGAATGGTTTCAAACTGCGAAGCTCGGAGGAAAACAGTGGTGGTAGAGGCATGAGCTGTGAGTGGAGACGGTTGCTGGAGATGGATGGTGATGCAGGGAGAAGAGTTACACTGCCTGACGCCGCGTGGGAAATTGTTTGAACCTGCAATTTCAGTTCGAGCGCGGTGGACTTCTAGACGATGTGTCCTCATGGCTGTTTTTCAACGCTTGGCCTATCGCTGATATCCCTGCGTGGGATGTTCTTCCAGTGGAGTCCAGGTGGGACTTCGGGTGCCCACACTCCATCACCTGGTTGATTGTTTCGGAACTGCAAAAATAATTATTGTTTCCTATTTTGTGCGCATCTCTTGTCATCTCTCTTTTCTATACGTCGCACACCAGATGTACTTCTATCGCCGTCTTTCTCTTGCTTTCTCTCCCTGCTTGCTGTTATTTTGTTTCTGTTGCCACTGTCCCTCATCATACCCATGCTTGGGTGGTGGAAGGCGTGACCCGTTAGGGTAGCTGCCAATACAGTACGACTCCCTGATGTATAGAGAGACTTTCTGGAAAGAAATAGGGAGACGAGGAGGAAATGAAATTAGAATGGATTTTAGTTGCCGAATAGGTGATAGGATGCGTCAGTAAAAACATACTTTGGAAGAGACATCCCGTCGTCTCCAAAATAGGCGTGAACGGGCGAGTCAGCGCCGGTCACAGGAAACGTCGGCAGAGACTGGATCCCGTCGACTCCAGAACGCGCGTGCTCGGCAGAGTCAGCGCCGTTCCAGGAAACATTTCCATCAGTTCCCACAACATGCACGATGAGCTAAGTAACAAAGCATAGCGTAGGGCCCTGAGCTTCCAAGCTCTCTCGTAAAATATATATTATTATTTATGATATTCAAAAGTTGAGAGAATGGAAAAGAGAAAAATCTCAAGACAAAATTGACTGTCACCACCAGGAATCAAACCAGGGAGTGGTCAGGGCATGGCTGGCCCCTGGCAAAGTCCAGAGGCCAGCCATGCTTGACCACTGAGCTTTGGTGTACACTGTAGCTGCCATCCCAGCAGAGACCATTCGAAATTTTCTTCAGACTTTGAAACTCAAACTTTTTGTGACTTTACGCAAGCTGGTGGTGGGATGCAGCCTTCACTTCACCCAAGCGTAGACAGGGCTCCTGGGCTTTGAAGCTCTCCCTTAAGTTAAGTTGACTCCCTGGCTGCTAGCCGACCAAGCGCGGCTAGAACTCGGTGCCCGGTAAAATTGATTGGTCCCCACTTTTATGGTCCATACCGCACAGTTTTGTGCCACCATCAGTAATTGACTGCTTACTGGTCTTCAGCCGATCCTCAGTCTTGATCTACCTCAGACGTCCGTTTGTTGATGGTGATTGCCTCCCAATCTGCACAATCGGCGTGTCGAGCCAGCGCAAGAAGCAACAGAGGCTGCTGTGTTGGCAATTCCAGTACCTTTGGAAATGCAATCTCGTCGTTGGCCGTGGTGCTCCTTTTTACTTTTTAGTTGCAAATTCAACTATGTCAAAAGAAGTCTTGAGCCTTCCTGCAGCTTCATAATAGAAACGAAGTTTGAGTGGACACACCCATTCCAGTCTCACTGCAAATTTGAACCAATTCCATTATTAAACAGTTAGCATTTCGGCACATGGCCATCATCAGGTAACTGAACAACGATACTGTGCCAGCTACAAAGCAGCAGTTTATATACAGGGCGTTCCGCCAAAAGGGTGTAAGTCCTCTGGATCCGAAGGAGGGGAGAAGTGTCAATGGGAGCCCACACCACGGCACAGGTGAGAAACCCAAGGTGCCGCTAAGCAGCCAAGGTGAAGCACATGCATACTGAGGCTAGGAGGTAAAAAGTGTCAAGTCAGGTTACAGTCAACTTCGCTTATAACGACACTCGGCGGGGCATCAGAAAAGTGTCCTTATTCGCGAAGTGTCGTTATACCCGAAGTCTCATTATATGTATTACAGTTGGATGGGACTTTGCTCTGGATATGGAAATTCTGTCGTTATTCGCGAATTGTCGTTATATCCGCAGTCGTTATAAGCGAAGTTGACTGTACATCAAGACGTACATGCATGCAAAGGTGAGAAGAAAAAATGTGTCACATCAGGTTACTAGTAGTAGTAGTACTGTCATTGTAATTATTCGCCCATCTTTCAATACACCTCGTTATGATAGAAGGTCCCATCCGGTGCTCGTGTTAACCGGTGGGTGTGTGTTCCTGATCAAGACGGCCTCGCGCAGTTTTCGATCAGCCCTATCACAGCGAACGCCCAAGAATGTTAGCTATAAGAAAGTGATGATGCAGGACAGAGGACCACGGCAGAGGACGGCCACGGCTAACTTCGAGAACTCAACGTCCTTGCACTGTCTATCACCTTTCTCATTCCTTACCTTAGCTACATTGTCTCAGATGACATCAAGACGGCTACAATAGTAGTCAATACTGTCAGTCGCTGAAGAACTAGGGCTGAGAGAGTTTAGCCTCGAGTCGTAGCCTAAACCGTTCCTATTTGCATGCATTACAGTCTATGCACAGTTGAGTCACAGTGATACATAATCATTGGTATACTGAGCTTGTTTTTTTTGTTTTTTTATTTATTTTATTTATGGATTCCCCAAAGGCCGAGGGGGTCTCCGTTCATGGCTTACTGGGAATATATCTGAAAAATTATAACATAATTATAGATTGAGAAAAAGAAGGATTATAACAAATGCATACTGTAGGAATCAGCCATACCATTCTTTACTATGTTATAGAAACTCTAGAAGGAATGAAACCAGCGGGTTCGAAGCGGGTGTTGGCAAAGATAGTACGGACACGAGACACAAAGCAATGACTATTTTGGGTGGTTCTAATGTCAGTGGGGAGAGAATTCCAGGTGGCAGCGGTAACAAAGAGTTTTTGGTTCATGCTGCTTATTGCTGGGCTGGTCGTTCTAGCGGGCTACATAACATTCCTTTGGCGCCGGACAGTACAGCACTGTACGCCCACACGTCTCCCAAACTAGTTCTGACCAATACTGAGCAATAGCAGTTACCAAAACTAATGCTGTCAAACGTTCTGAAGACGATGGCAAAGCAACTGCTCACACGCCATTTTGCAGCTAGCAATGCACTTCCATATCTATGATCTAGTGCAGGTACATGCATGATGTACTAGTGAGTATTGGGTGCACTGGTGACGGTGTATCTAAGCCTATAGTCTGTTTCAAAAAGATTAGCAATCAGGTTTTGGTCTTAAAAAGTATGAAGATAAGGGAAAATTGGACAACGAAGTACATAAAATGGCTGGTTAGGGCACGGCAAATTGTTCTGTGAAGGTTTCGGAACAATTGGACCAGCCGTTAAGGAGTTAGAATTTCGGCCAGGTTTCCGGCCTTTTCCCATGGTTTACAATTTGCCCTGGAAGCCAGTATCGATTTTTCTATCAAAACCCACGATTTATCTTTTCCTTTCTGGCCTTGTGGTTATGGATGCTGTCTGCTGACCATGAAGTTGTGAGTTCAAATCCCAACCTATCTTCAACTCACACTTTTTTTCATTGTTTTTTGGTGATCAAGCAGACTTGTTGTTGTTCACGGTTGTTGTTGTTGGAGCTCCCGCTTCCTCCCGAACTGACTGACACTTGACTGGCTCACGCCATGTGAACACACCGACAACACTGAAACGGTGTGAGTGAATACGCAAGTCATTGCGCTGTAGCTTTGAATACAACGGCACATCGATCGATCGATTAAACTTCTTGAGAATTATTTTAGTATTTCAAGATCGCCAATTTATTTGAATTTAGAAGTCAACGCCGTCTTCTATCAGCTTTCACAGGCGTCTGCTTTTCTCAAAATGTTGTGGAAGTCATACGAATAGCTTCGCCAAGTCAGGGCCTTGGGGATGAGTCTGTGTCGATGTCGTTTTCGTCACATGGTGAGAGTAAATTGCATCGCAGCTCAAAGAAACCATTTGGTCACAAAACATATTGGGACCCATGCCGCTCGTCAGCCTCGGCATTGACTACACTTTCGACATGTCCTCTCTGACTCCATAATCGATACGAGGAAGAACTCGTTTGTTGTGAACCAGACGTACACGACTGTACCGACATCGACCTGAGTGAGTTGTCATTTTTCATGCTTTCGCGCGGAATATTTCTTCGAGTTCACAGTGAGTTTTTCCAGGCAGCGCTCGAGCGCTCATACGGTAAGACGGCAAACTCCCCGGGCGATCACCAGGATTGCTAATCTTTTTGAAACTGACTGTAAGCCAAGGTATTTCCAGTGGAGCTCGCTAAGTGTGTATGGTGATAATAGTACTCACTCCACTAAGGCGTACTGTTATAGCCAATTGGAAAAGAAATTATAACGGTCCCAGTGAAAGAGATCACAAACAGAACTTACCCACGGCAGATTTTCAGTAGTCATTATTCCAGTGTCCAAGAACGTCCAGTTTCGCCTTCACACATGTATTCAACCATTACAGTTATCGGTACCGGTAATTGTCTACCGCCATCTCGCAATACTCAAAATCTCCAACTGAAAAACCTGTTCAGTCTGTTTCTCCTTCTGCTATCGCATCAGACGGTTCTTCTGTTTCCTTTCGTAAAGAATGGCGTTGAAACTTGAAAGTAATTGTCCTGTACGCTACAATAAACTGTCTTCCACAAAATAGCCGTGTGTCTTCCAGTAACGTTTCACAGAGAGAGCAGAGCTAACCTACCCCAGCGTCTGCAATGCTGAAATGACGAGGCCGCGAAGTGCGAACCAGCATTATAAGAGCTACTGTCACTCAATCGTGAGTACATGCCATTGTATTATCACTTGTATAGTGCTCCGGACTGCATGGATCCACTGACATTACGTCATGGTGAGGCGATGCTTTGTAGCACACAGCTGGATACGTAATCCTTGCAGCAGGGGGAAGTGTGGTGAGGTTGTGGATGAGGAATGGTTGGTTACAGAGAACAAGGTCCAGGAGAGAAGAGCTCTGACCTGCGGCGGAGAAACGCGTTGGGCGGTCGCGTACAAGTTGTGTAAAACCAGTATCATCCAGCAGTTCGACAAGGCATCTTCCAGCAGCAGTGTTCGGGTCCTGCCTATACCATTCATTGTGCCGAGCATTAAAATCACCGAGGATGATAATGGAAGCCGTAGTGTCCGTAATGGAAGAGATGGACTCACGCAAGCCAGAGGAATGTTGAATGATCCTGCCTTGGTGGCCGATAACAGCAGAAAATAATGGCCATTTTAAGGTGGCAGACTACCCAAAAATTCGCTGAAAAATCGAATTTGTAAATTCATATTGAGTGCTACGTCAGTTGAAAGAGCATGAATAGCTGCAAATTCTCTGAAAATTGTGTCCCGATCTGACCAGCCGTTCAAGAGTTATGGCCGAAAAGGTGCCCTTGCAAGGAAAGATTTTTTTGTTGCATGCTGTCATTTGTTGGCAGCACTGTATTTGAATGTGAGCAGACCGTGCGCAACTTGTCGTATTATGGAAACACGCGAAAGTGTGCAGAATTTTGCCCCAAGGCCAAAAAAGTCCAAAAAAGAACGTTAAAAAACCACGTATTGGGCTGCACGGCGGCGGGCGAAGCCCGCCGCCGTGCAGCAGGACTTTTGCCAGCACCCTCGTGACGTTGCAGATATGTGGCTTGATTATTGTAGTTGACGTTGATTTAGTGACTTTGGCAAGTTTGAGTCGTGTCAAGAAGTCAGGTAGGATTCAGTACTAGGCAGTAGTGAAACGTGAGTGGCAGTCTTTGCCGGTTTCTGAGGGCATCCTGGATTTGGTGTGCAGCGCTGTGGAAATGGCTTGCTGTGGAGGTCCCAGCACTGGATGTTGTATCAAAGGTACGACCTCGTAGCACACCCTAAACCTAAAAAATTCAAAAATTGACTTGGGTCTGTGGGAGTCCGCGAGAGAACGCCCACTCGTTCCGTTGTGACAGATTCCAGGGCCACGTTGAGGGGCCCTACCCCACCACCCATGGCTGCTTCTGGACTTGTTTTAGGTTTGGGTCCCGCGCACGGACAGAATGGGCACGAAAATGTGAAAAAATGTAAATGCATTTGTTTGGCTCCTGGGTGGCTCGCACACCGTGGCACTATGCCGGAAATTTGAGTTTTCCGGCCTGGAAAGCCTGTCAGTGAGGCGCAAGAACTTGTAAATCATGTCCTGAGGGCCAGCATAGTGGCAGGAGTGTGTGGTCAAAATTTCACTCAAATCCACTGAGAAACACCAAAGTTACGGTCAATTGAATGCCATATGAAATTTATGGGTAGGCTGCCCCCTTAAGGTGGCAGACTACCCAAAAATTCGCTGAAAAATCGAATTTGTAAATTCATATTGAGTGCTACGTCAGTTGAAAGAGCATGAATAGCTGCAAATTCTCTGAAAATTGTGTCCCTATCTGACCAGCCGTTCAAGAGTTATGGCCGAAAATGTGCCCTTGCAAGGAAAGATTTTTTTGTTGCATGCTGTCATTTGTTGGCAGCACTGTATTTGAATGTGAGCAGACCGTGCGCAACTTGTCGTATCATGGAAACACGCGAAAGTGTGCAGAATTTTGCCCCAAGTCCAAAAAAGTCCAAAAAATCACGTTA